CTCCTCCGCCGCCGCCGCCAACCGCGCGGCCCGGGGAGCGGCCGGACGGCGCAGGGGCAGCCGCGGCCGCTGCGGCCGCAGCCGCCGCGGCCTGGGACACGCTCAAGATCAGCCAGGCACCGCAGGTGAGCATCAGCCGCAGCAAGTCGTACCGCGAGAACGGGGCGCCCTTCGTGCCGCCGCCGCCCGCGCTGGACGAGCTTGGCGGCCCGGGGGGCGTCACGCACCCGGACGAGCGCCTTGGAGCGGCCGGCGGCACTGGCAGCGCCCCAGCGGCGGGTGGCGGCACCGGCGCTGAGGACGACGAGGAGGAGCTGCTGGAGGACGAGGAGGATGAGGATGAGGAAGAGGAGCTGCTGGAGGACGACGAAGAGGAGCTGTTGGAGGACGACGCCCGCGCGCTGCTCAAGGAGCCCCGGCGCTGCGCTGTGGCCGCCACCGGCGCTGTGGCCGCAGCTGCTGCTTCTGCAGTGGCCACCGAGGGCGGGGAGCTGTCACCCAAGGAAGAGCTGTTGCTGCACCCGGAAGACGCTGAGGGCAAGGACGGCGAGGACAGCGTGTGCCTGTCTGCGGGCAGCGACTCGGAGGAGGGGCTGCTGAAACGCAAACAGAGGCGCTACCGCACCACATTCACCAGCTACCAGCTGGAGGAACTGGAGCGAGCCTTCCAGAAGACGCACTACCCGGACGTCTTCACCAGGTATGCGTGTAGGGTGGTCGCGGCGGCAGCAGCGGAGGGCGCACGCGGGCCCCAGAGACGGGTGGCGGGCGGGCAGGGGCCCCCGGACTCGGGGCCGACACTTCGCTCTTGAACTCCGCCAAGGCGCGCCCTCCCAACACCCACCCGTGCTCACGCAAACTACCCATTCCCCTCCCTCCCCCGCTTCGGGTTTTAAGTTTAGGTTGGGATGGTTTCTTTCTTTCCCGAGGTCGTTCCAGTTTAATGTTTTCAAATCACAAGTGTTAGAGAAAGGAAAGGAAACAGCCTCTCCAAAGAGCGCCCGAACGCGCCAGCTTGGAGAAGCGCGCACACACGCGCGCGCACACGGCCTCAGGCGCTGCGGCCGGGCCAGGTCCCCCGCGAGGCGCAGCAAGCGCTGTCCTGTCTGAGGTCGCGCGGCCGGAGCAAAGCAGGGGCTATTTTGGGCCGCAGTGCTGTGCGCTCGCCACCCCCGCTTGGTGCGGTATCAGTTACTCTGTCCGCTGAAGCTGGAGCCCGTGCCAGCCGAGAAGGCCTTTAAAAAGACCCGAGTTCCGTCGTTTCAGGACTCCTGAAATAACCGAAGGAAGTCGGAACTGGGCGGTGTTCGGTGTCTGTACACCTGAGGGGCACCAGCCAGAATCTTCCCCCTCTGGTCTCTGTCCTCTCCCCCCACACACGTGAAACCCAGCGTGTGTTTAATGTCAACGGTTTACGGTTTACGGTTTACGGGGTGGACAATGATTGCTGGAAGCCTGGCAGGCAGTAGACGTAGCAGTTGGGGGAATTTTCTCTTTGGAGGAGAGGCCAAGCCGGGTGTTCGGCCTGGTCACGCTCCACTTCGCGCTCGCCTGTTTCTCTGGGAAAGATGAGCTTGTGGGATGACTGGGCGACCAGGCCCTTGGGCCCGGGCTAATTCAGCCGACAGGGGGGGGGGTGGCTCCGGCCCGGCTGGGGGTCCTTGTCTCCCACCCCAAGGCCAAGGTCTCAGCTCAGGCGAGGAGCCAGTGTTAGAGTGAACGTCTCCCAGTGAGGGGGAGAAAGGGACTGGTGACTGCCTGGCGCAGGGCTTGTTCAGCGCGGGCAGCTCCTTCGCAGGAGACGTGCACAGCTTTTCAATGTGCATTTTAGAAGGGGAATGCTGCCCGCCCCTTTGAAACAGAGGAGAAATCGCTGCTCAGGGCTCAGGAGGTCCGAGCCAACTCCAGCATGTAGCTGGTCTGGCAATTGCCAAACTCTCTCCTAACCAGAAACAGAAAAGAGCGGATTTAATGTGGGGCGAAGGCACTTAAACTTGGTCATCCCTTGAGCTCAACTTGGACTTCCCCTGCATCACCCAAGTCCTTCCTTCTCTTTAAAAAATGAAATAAATTTTAAAATCAGTGTGTGCTATCAAATAGCTAACTGGTCAACCGGCTTTTTGCACTGATCATGCATGTGTATTTCAAAAGAAGAAACTGAGCCGGTGTCAGTTGGCACCCAGGTCCACCCTTTTTGAGCTTCTGGCGCAGGGGCGGGGGTGGGGACCAAAGTGCAAGAGGAGGGACAGCTCCTCTTTGCTGCCCCACCCCCACTTCTTTCCAACCCAAGGGTTTGAGCCCCTTGGCCCCGGGTCCAGCCAGGAGGGCAGTTTGAGATTTGCTAGTGCTCACTGTAGCGGGGGGCAAGCAAACTCAGCGAACCGGTTTTCCCCCAGTGTAGTTTCAGGTGTGAGCCGGGGGTGACCGACAGTGCAGACCTGGGTCCCAGGCTTGGGCAGCCCCCTCTCTTTCGTATTAGCGAGCGAAGAGCCAATTATTCTCGGCGCGCTCAAATTTTCGGTAAACAGGTCGTAAGCCGTTTTACAGCATCTTAATGGTTTCCTATTTGCCTTAATTGTCGCAGTAATAACTGCAATGATGGGGTAGGGTTTCAGCTAAATTGACTTCCCCTGAGATGGGCAGGGTTTGTAGTGGGCACTGGAGTCAGGAGGTGCGCAGAATTTTGTTTAATCGAAAAATTACCCCACTGAACTCTTAACAAGCTTAACATATCTCCAGAGGGTAATGGGGAGTGTGACCTAAGGGGGTGAGGGAGGGAGGAAGGCGGGGGAGAGAGAGATGGAGGGAAAAGCAGAGAGCTGGAAAGAGAAGGAGGGGAGAGAAAATTTTTAAAAGAAGGCAGGATGAAACCAAGAGGGCAGACAAACATTTTTTTTCAGTTGAGTGCTGAGTTCTTCTCCCATTTAGTATTAGTACAAAACAGGGTATAAGCACTATGTGTGCGTGTTTCTTGTCTAATCCTGGCTTAAGAGAGTGAGAGAGAATCCGTGTGCCCAGGTTCGTAGACTTATGAACTCAAGAAGCCACCCCTGTCACATTTGAGTAGAATATGATATAATATGTGATATCCTGTATCTGGCGATGTGTGTTTTTATGTTTTCAGTGAAATAGTAGGCACTGCAGTGGTGAAGGGAGGGTGATGCCCATGTGTTTGGGGGTGGGGGACAGGCAGCCAGGGAGAACCCTAATGGAGGAGGCCTGCCACCCAGGGGAAGGTGGCTGAGAGGGAGTTGCTGGGGCCTGCAGTGACCTCCTGTCTGTGTGTTGCTTTCTTATAGGGAGGAACTGGCCATGAGGCTGGACTTGACTGAGGCCCGAGTCCAGGTGAGCTTCACAACAGAGAGGGAAGAGGGAGGGAGGACGGCTGAGGGACAGTGGGGGAAAGAAAGAGATGGGTGGATGGATGGGGGGATTGAGACCCCCCCTTCACAAAATGAAGAGAAGTAGAATCAGAAAAGTAGACCCAAAGACTCACACACAAAAAAAGATATTTAAAACTTCAAACTTGGGAGGTGGGAGGGGAAAGTTTCTGAGTTCGGGAGCCTGAAGGAGGAGTCCAGGATCAGAACAGGGGTTTTAGAGTCCCTCAGATGGCAGTTCAGGAGCCCCCAGTCCCAAAGCCCCTATAGGAAACAAGCCACCGACCTACTTCTCCTGATTGAAATAATGGGATGGAGCATGGATTTGGTTGTTAGACAAATCCGCTCAGCTCCAAGCAGGTATTTGGCTGCGATTAAGTCTCCAATCGGGCTTCATAAAAGCCCACTTAGTGCTAGAACAAACAGGGCCATTTGAAGGCAAAATGCTGTTTGATTTCCCCTCCGCCCCGCACAAGGAGCTGGCTAATGCTATTTGATTTCCCATTTTTTATAGCAATGAGCCCACATTGATCTAATAGGGAGTGAGTGCAATGCTATTAAAGGTGTTTGCAGCCCCATACCAGAGTGCATTTCCGAACCCAGGCCTCATAACCAGAGAGACGATCAACACTGGGCAGCCCCGATGGCCAACAGAAAACAGATGTCCCCGGGTTAGGAGCTGAGTGAATCACTTTACAGTCAAAATCAAGCGCTGATAAAGCACAATAAATTCCATATGGCTCATTTAATACACAACAGCTTCTTGCATTAGAGGGCTAATGATGAGGCCTGTCCCCTCCTTTCTGTTGACACATTTCTCCATTGTCAAACAGAGATGTGACAGCAACTCCGTATTTTCAGCTCAGGGGAACGAATCGTGGGAAAGTTAAATAACTTTTAAAAAGAAAGAGAGCACCCCTCCCCTTCTCCTCTGCCCCTATTCACTGGAGAAGATGTAATTAAGTGAATATGAATTATTAGAGTCCTTTTGTTTACCTTTGGGGGGCCTCAGAGGTATTAATTCAATAATGAGGCATTGCAGGGGGACATCTTGATAATTGCAGTTGAGCAGGGAGAGAGGATCCGTCTGTAAAAAGGTTTCCACGTTCTTTAAGGGCGTTCTGCGTCCACTGCCCCCAGATCCCCTTCTTTACTCCTTTCACTGCGATCAAGGAGTGGCGGATATTCTCGTCTAGACAGATTTGGATACACAAAAGCTGCCCACCCAGCCTGGGCCCATCTCCAGGCTTGCTTTTTCAAGCTTCTGGATTTCCACACTGGAGTGTTTCTGAAATTCACAAATAGATTATTTGCAGGCTGTGCAATGTTGTGGATGGGCCCCCTTTGGGCAGAATTTTAAGTAATTAACCGATTTGGATTCTTGATTTTTCTTGCCCTGGGGGGCTGTCTAGAAGTCAAACCAAGCTTAGATGCCAGTGATAGTAACAACACCCCACCAGTGTGTATATCTGAAAGATACGGATGTCTTTCAAGTTTTAAAACATATTCCTCTGGGATCATTTACATTATATTTTAATATAACTCTGTATAGCCCTGGAGTTCATTCTTAATTTTTAGACTTGTGTGCAGTCATAAACCCAGCCCTTAAAATATTAATGCCTTCAGGGGAGAAGGAACATATCTTCTCAGCTGTGGGTGTGATGAGCAGGTCACATAAAAATAATTTCATGCTCCTGGGGGTTATTTTTAGATGATGGTAGCTGCCATGTTTCAGGTAAAGGTCTCTATTAAAACTACTTTCTATTACCAATTAGGAAAATACCTCGAGCTGCAAACCTCCCCCAGGCCTAGAACTATCTTATTTAAATAACCTATTTAAACCACATCCCCAGAAGGAAATAAAGGACCTGTTAATACCGAAGATGTAAAGTCTACACCTATCCTGCCCTCTGCTTTCTACGTGCCCAGGTGTGGCTGCATACTTCATCCGTGCAGCCAGTGCCTCCCTGCACAGGACCGGGCCCTGCAGAGAGCAGGCTGTGTACCCCTATTTCATCTTATGGCGAGCTGGCCCCCCAAAATGTTTGCCTGTTTGCTAATTACTGTGAGCATTTCTTCCTTCCCTCCCGAACCCCAGAACCCAGCATAGTGCCCTTAGGTGTTCAATAATATTTCTGGAAAGAATAAACGAACCGCCTCCCGGCTTCCCTTCTCAACACAGAGCAGGGATTTTGCCAGCTCTTGGGTAAACCTGAAATAGGCAAAAAATAGCTGATTGGCAGTAAAATAAGCATGTCCTGAGAGTCTCCACTGACTGCATGCTTTCGCTTGCCTTATTTTACTCGTTCCTCGTAAGTCTTATATGAGTAAAATTTCATTATCCCCATTTTACAGATTAGAAAACTGAGGTTCAGAGAGGTTTAAGTGACCTACCCAAAGACGCGCAGCAAGCAAGTGGCAGCGCAGACATTTCGACCTTGGTTTCCCCATCTCTGAACACAGCGAACCACTTTCCTTAAACTTGGGAAGCTGCGCTAGTTGGAATACCCATGGGAAAGGGTTTGCTTGTCCTGTGTTTCCTGGTGGCTTTAAGTTGAAGTTTGGGCTCCTATTCACTGCTCCTTTGGCCCCAGATGTGTCCAATAACAACCTAAGGCCCAAGAGCTGCGAGGTGGGCACGGGCCGCAGTGGGGCCGAGTGAGGGCCCGCGGTGCCGCCGGGCCACACCGCGCCATCCCTGGGCTCTCTCCGCCTTGCAGGTCTGGTTCCAGAACCGTCGGGCCAAGTGGCGCAAGCGAGAGAAGGCGGGCGCGCAGACCCACCCCCCGGGGCTGCCCTTCCCCGGGCCGCTCTCGGCCACCCACCCGCTCAGCCCCTACCTGGACGCCAGCCCCTTTCCCCCGCACCACCCCGCGCTCGACTCGGCCTGGACAGCTGCTGCCGCCGCGGCCGCCGCCGCCTTCCCGAGCCTACCTCCGCCTCCCGGCTCCGCCAGCCTGCCGCCTAGCGGGGCGCCACTGGGCCTGAGCACTTTCCTCGGAGCCGCCGTGTTCCGGCACCCAGCCTTCATCAGCCCAGCGTTTGGCAGGTAACGCGCGGCCTCGGAAGTCTGTCTGTCACTGTCTGTCTGTCTCTCATATACACACAGAGGCTGGGCTCAGGCAGGAGGCAGGAGACAAATGGGATACACACATCTTTTTCTTTGGCCCAACCTCGGAGACTTTAGCCAAAGAAAATACTCTCTAATTTTGTCTCAAAAAAAAAAAAAGTGTGGGTCTTGAAGGACTGAGCGGGAAAGGGGAGGGCAGTGGCAGTACCAACAACCATGGCAAGCAGGGAGTGCTCAATGAAAGCTGTAAAAGTACCATTTGAAGGCAGCAACAGCCTCGACTTAGGTGGTATGAGCGCAAACCTGTATAGGTGTAGGCTACAGAGCAGGGATGACTTTTCAAGTTTTGCAAAAGTCCTTCCTCATGCCCCAAAGCTAGCTGCCTAACACAGCCCTGGTCCCCATGGGAGCTCCGGAGCCACAAGGCCCTCTGGATGCACAGAATTCTTTCTTCTTCCCCAAACTCCATCTTCCTTGTCACTCAAGTGACCTGCTGCCAGCCATACCCCTATATGTGCACCCCCGACCCCTACAGCGGTACAAGACAACGAAATAAAAGAAACAGTTCATCGTATATTATAACTCCTTTTCTTTAAATGAACATCGAATGATGAAATAAAAAGTCTGTATAATCACACAGACAGAGAAACAAAGGAGGGATGTATTAAGTTAGAAAGTGCAGTGAAAATAAAACTGAATGCAGCTTCAATGATCTCTCTTTGGGAGAACAAAGAAATAACAGATTCATCCGACTGTGCAGCCACTTAACAAAAATCATCTTAGAGAAAATTAAAATTAACACGAAGTAAAATTAGTTTCTTCTAACAAACCAATAAAATAAAACGGAGTGCACTTAAGTGTAGTTAGTGACTCAGTTTACCTAATGGAACCAGGGCATGTTATGCTACTTCCGGGTCCCATTTTATCAGTTCTTTCTGAAAAAAAAATTTTTTAAGTCCTGTGGCTCCCCGCTCCGCCACTTTCCCCCTCTGACAACAAGTGACTTGTAAAACTAGGCGAAGCATGACTAGAGGACCAGGCTGCAACATGCACAGTCTGGAAGAGGGTGTGTGGGGGCGGGTGGCACGAGGAGTGAAGAGTGGGCTCTGGAGGAGGAGGAGGAGGAGGAGGAGGAGGAGGAGGCGCTCTGCGAGCCCAGGTGGGCTGCTTTGTAATCGTGGAAATCTCGAATTAGCCCGGCTGGGTCCCGGAGCCAGAGCCCACGGGGAGGCGGCCGGGAATGCCCGTGGGCACTCGGAGGCGGCGGGGGGGAGTGTCCGGTGGCCCGGGGCGGCTCGGGCCACAGCTGCGGGTCCGCGCCCAGTAATCCCGGCGCCGTGGGCGCTGGCGCGGGTCCCAGGCTTGGGCGTCGCGTGCGCCGCGCGCGGAGGTCTTGGGTCGGGGGCTCCCTGCGGCAAGAGGCCACGGGATCGCGGGGAAGGCAGCGGTGAAACCGCGTCGCCGCGCTGGGACGCGGGGCTGCTGGAGGATCACGGCCGCCTGTCGAGCGGCAATCAACAGGCGGGTGCCCGCCACCCCCACCCGCGGGCGGCGGCCGCGCACCGGCCGCTCAGCCCCGCGCAGAAGGGGGTCCTCGCCGGCGCTGGTGGACCGCAGGGCCAGCAAACAAGGCCGGCTTTTCCAGGGCGAAAGGAGTCCCGGGCCGAGAAGGAGCCTGAGAGAAACTTCAAAGCCTGCATCGTAGGTCTTGGTCAGTTTTTATCCCGCTTTTTCTCTTCTTTCTCTTTCTTTCCCTTCCTTCTTCTTCTTCTTCTTCTTCTTCTTCTTCTTCTTTTTTGTTTTTGTCTCTCCTCTTCCCTCTCCACATTCTCTCCTGGTAAATATTGTAACTGTAGCCCCTGGCCTTGGCATATAGCGTCGTGAGCGAAACCACAGAATCCTCGCAACTGGGCCGTGCCGTGTGGGGCCGCGGGGCCCGCCTCTGGCCCCCAGCTCCGGCCCTCTAGAAATATCTGGCCCCCTTGGTCTTTCTTCCCAGTGGGTGCTTTGCTCTGGTAAAGCGCTCTCAGCGTGCTGCAGCCTCCGTCCGCGCCCCCTGCCACTCCCCAGCCCGAGGCTCCCCCACGGCCTGCGTTTCCGCGCCCTGAGGCGGCGTCCCTGTGCGCCCTTCAGCGCCCTCCACTCCCCCAGTGCCTGGCGGCGGGAGATGCTGCTGGAGGCGCCGCGCACGGCTGCCTTGGCCATGACGGCGCTGTTTGCTCTCCCCGCAGGCTCTTTTCCACCATGGCCCCTCTGACCAGCGCGTCGACCGCGGCCGCGCTCCTGAGACAGCCCACACCGGCGGTGGAGGGCGCGGTGGCGTCGGGCGCGCTGGCCGACCCGGCCACCGCGGCTGCAGACAGACGCGCCTCCAGCATAGCGGCGCTGAGGCTCAAGGCCAAGGAGCACGCGGCGCAGCTCACGCAGCTCAACATCCTGCCGGGCACCAGCACGGGCAAGGAGGTGTGCTAAAGGCTGCCTCCGACCTTGCGCCCCGGGCGCGCCCCGAAAGGTCACCTCACTCAGCACCACTCAAGACCAAATGGAAACAGAGGACCAGCACACTCCTGAGACGGCACTGAGAGAGAGCAGCCGCCTCCGCAGCAGTCTGGGCGCTACCAGACATGGCACCTCCTCGGCTGGCTGTCCGCTCGCCCCTGCCCCCGTCCCTCCCCTGCCACCGCCAACCTCGCTCCAACTCCAACGTCCACTCTCTCCCGTTCTTTCTTTACTGAAAACATCGGGGAGTTTTCTCCCAAAACGCCTGATTATCGAAGTTAAAAATTTAAAAAGCCCAACCTCTCTTTCTCCTGACGCCCCACTTAGCTTTTTTTTTTTTTAAATAGCATTTTGGCGCTCTAAGTTGATCTTCCCAGCGTGGGCCCCGGCGTGGAGCCAGGGCCAGGGAAGCGAACGCGCGTCTGTAAGATAGCTAACAGTGCACTTAAAGGAAAGGGGCGTCTTGTTCTTGTTCTCTTCTTTATCATACACCAACCAAGGTTTTTATATCAAACCAAAGGGAAATACTCTGCTAGAATATGGACTATTGAAGTCACCAAACTGTGATTATTGATTCTGTACATACCATTGTTATTAAAAAAAAAAAAAGAACAGAGCTTTGTATATTTGAAATGTTATAACGCAATTGCACTCAGCGTGGTATGGTAAAAGTTTGTCCTCCTGTAGGTTCTTACTGTGTTGTAGATACGGTAGGGTTCCTAGACAAATATTTATGTACTCAAGCCCTTTATTTAACTTATTAACTGTAGAGGCTTCCGAAACCTTCAAGATAAAGGCAATGGTACAGTACTTTTGTGTAATGTGTAATTGTTATCACTTTTCCTTGCTATCTAGTGGAGAAGTGTCACGCTTAAAATAAAAAAAAAAAATTATATGTTTAACAAAAGGAAGTGTGAATGTTCTATACCTGCGCTGAGGGGACAAAAGAAGAGGCTCCCCCCCCCCGGAAAGTCAAGGTTGGGGGCCCGGCGCCCTGGCACCTCCTGGGTTTGTCCGCACACGGGTCTTCCTGGCAGAGGCCTTGGGTTTGAATCCGACCCTCAAAGGGACCCGGATTTCCTACAAAGGTTAAGGACGCCGCTGCAGTACTTTCCACGCGCATCTCGGCGCCCCCAGTCGTGTTGCAGCGGGAGCTGGGGGTCCTGGGCCGTGGGGGTGGGGTGGGTTCGAGGGCGGGTGGGTGTGCTGTAGGCGTCGTTGACGATGGAGTCAGAAGTTTGAAGCAAGCGGGAGTCTTGGCTCGGAAGGCGAAGGAAGCCGTTGGTGGAGTGTGCCACGTAGCAAGGAAGTGCGCAGTCCGAGATGACAGGTAATGGCGAGAGCGAGAAGCTGAGGCGCTGGCTTCCGAAGGGGCGGGCTCCACCGTGCATCCGCAGGGAGGAGGGAGGGGTGCGTGTGCGTGTGCGTGTGCGTGTGAGAGAGAGAGAGAAGAGAAGAGAGAGAGAACACGGAGGAACAGTGATGGAAAGGCAGCGAGGGGTATCCAAGTGGCAGATCTTAACTCGACAAATGTCATTACATCACTTATCCAGGCACTAGTAAATGTATACATTTAAAAAAATCTAAACAACTCAGGTTTCGTGAGGAGACCCAAACAGATTTGCAATCCTTAACCCCCTCGGCGCACCCCTCCCTGCGGGGGGAACGGCAGCTTCTCCCTCCCCCGGGGCCCTGCCTTCGCCCCTCGGGTGACCGCTCTGTGGAAGGCCGCCCGCGGGGGCTGGGTCTCGCCAACGCTCCTGGGGTGATGGGAAAGGGAAGAGAAGCTTAATTAGTTTCAATTTGCGGTAATTAGAGCGCTGGACCTTTGGGGAGAGGGGCAGGCGGCGGCGGGGGGGGGGGCTGCCGCAGCGTGACTACTGCGACTCGCCGAGCTGGGGGCGGCCGCCCCCGGCACACCGCTGGCCAGTCTGTCCCGCGGGGGGCGTGGGCGCGTCTCCGGGCCGGGGCCCGCCGGGCTCCGCGCGCGCCCTGGAGGAGGAGGGGGGCCGGGGCCCCTCGGGGCCTGGGGCGCAAGTGTGCGCGGCCGAGGGGAAGGCGCGGGGTCGGGCAGAGGTCAGCGGCCCGCCAGGCGCTGCGCCCGCCTTGGGTGGGGGTGGGCAGCCCGCCGGGCAGCTGCGCCGCTGGAGCCGGCGCGTCCTTGGCTCGCCCACCGGGTCCCAACTCCCGCGGGCCCCGCCCGCAGGAAACCTTGGGGTGGGCACCCGACGGCTGCCCGCCTGAGGCTGGTTGTCGCACTTCGGCCGTCCGGAGGGTCGCCGCCACTCTGCCCCGGCCTGGGGCACGGGGAGCGGCCGCCGACTCCCATTCCCACCACACGGGGCTTCTCCGGCTTTCGTGGGCCCGGCGGGAACTTTCAGGGCATTACTCCAGGCCCGAGACTCTAAAACCCTCAGACTCCACAGGGACTCCAGAGTTTGGGAGGAGACGGTAGTGCGGGAGAAGCGTGAGGGAAAGAAGTTTTTTTGTTGAGTTTTTTTGTTTTGTTTTTGGTGGTCAATATCAATTTTCCGTCGATTTTGGCTTTTTGTTTAGTAGGGCTTCTTTTTCCCCCTCCAGGCTGCCAGTTGGATGGTATACGAGAAACAGTACCATTCTTCCTGTTAATGAACTCTTTTTTAAGTCATTTTTTCTCATTTGACCCTTCCATGGAGCAGAAGCAAATTGCGTGAAATTACCTCCAAGGATTACATTTATTACTGGCCAATGAGAACCCCTCGCCTTGTTTTACAAACTCTTAATCCTATGTCATTCTGATGCCGAAAACAAGCCCGGTCCTGGGCCTCCTATTCTTTCAACTTTCCCCAGCTGGAGGGACCTCATTCTGCACTTAATATTCCCCATAAATATCACACGCTAAAGACCCCCTGACTTCCAGCAAGTTCACATTAAACATGTGACATGTCACGCATGACAAACTCTGAGTATCTTTTCAAAGCAGCATTAAAAGCAAAGAAACCAATTTTCTTCTCCTTCCAAACCTCCCCAAGTGCTGAATGATGGGGATTGGAAAGAGCCACTGGAGCGTACTTAGGGGGATTTTATGAGATTTTCCAGAATGATTTAATCTTATTGTGAACATTATTAATGAATGGCAACCCAATTTGGCCCCAATATCTGGGAACGCGGTCACAATGCTGGGAGCGGCTGACCCCCCCAACCTTAAGCAAACCTCTTCCACCGTGGAGGAGGACACGCAGAGCCCCGGGAGTTCGAGAGAGCCCAGTTAAGGGCATGGCTGTCTCCTGTCACACCCAGGGCAGCATGGCCCAACACCTGCTTTCCCAGGGCCACCCCCACAGCATCTTGGGGTGAGGGGTGACAGGGAGCCCAGTATGGGCCTCTGTGGGAGGGTTGAGGGGAAGGGGCAAGTTAATTTGCTACATTTTCAGACAGGTCAGCCAGATCTGGAGGAGGCCCCGAAAGGCAAAAAGGGGCCAATTGGCACAGTATTACCAGTAGTGTTCTTCCATCGCCCACGACCCGTGGCCCGGACTGCGGACGGTAGTTGCGGTGGACAGCTCAGGTGTGTGGTGAGGAAGGTAGCAAGTGAATGAATTAGGGAGAGTGACTGTTGAAGAGAAGGTTTGGGACCACTTGGGACTTGAAACTCAGTCTTAAAGTCACTGAAATTGGCCCTGACCAGTTTCCCATATTTTCTCTTATTACTCCCCTCTCCCACCCAACTGGGCAAACATTTATTACTGTTGTTTTTGACTTATAATATCAAGAGTCAAAGCACCTGTAGTTCTCTTATTAGTATCGTTTAAAGTGCGGGGATTTTACTAGAATGGAAAAAGGGGGTGAGGACGTTAGAGGAAAGGAAATTATACGTAAATTAGTCCAACTTGCTTTTAGAGAAAAAAAAATGTGTACGTGAGCATGTGTGTATGCGTATACACAAAAGTGAGTGTGTCTGAATGAAGGGGGTCTTACATGGGGTCTAAAATGGTATTTTGGAACGCAGAGTTCCCTGGAGCAATTGCATATTTAACTGACAGTGGCAGCCTGGCTGGGGGGTGGGGAGAAGAAAACCCACTACCTGACAGAGAGAAAGCATTTTTCAAAAGAAAAAGTCATGTTGTCCCTGGACGTTATTAACGGTCCAGTTTGAAGTATACATTTTTTTTCCTTTAAAGAAAAGGGAGCGATTACCAGTTATACATTAAGAAATGTCATTCAGTCATTTTTATTCATTCTCCGGAAATCTTCGTAAAAGCCTGAATCATACTTCTACAAGCAGCAATTTTGTTAATCCAGGGGGTTATTACTCTGGGCCCTTATTAGGTTCTACACCACTGCCAAGCAATCCTATAACCCTCTCAAAAGAAGTTTACCTCCCTGTTATAAAACCAGTAGTGGTATTTATACTGTGCAATAATTAGTGTATTACTTGAATCCACTAACACGTTCATTTTATCTCTGCACAAAACCTCTAGTCTGCTTATAGAAAGCTTGTGCCTCCTTTGGTGCTGTTAAAGTGGTGAAAGAGTGAATTGAAGGCTGGTTGCACTTTCTCCTTTTGCCTCGCCTTAATTCCCATCTCTTTTTGCTCTCATCCAATTAGCACAGTGTATTAAGCGGTTTATCATCTCATAGTCAGCTATTGAGAGAAACAAGGCGAGCACTTTGCAATAGAACCTGCGCTCCTTTGACACCCTCAGGTACTTACATATTCCACTGCGCTATGAATAATAGAGGAAGAATGGAGCGCTAATTCCCTCATCAAAGAATGCCTTGTCTGCTGCTTTGCTCAACAACACCATTCTGATCAAAAGAAAAGCAATAAAGCTTAGCATAACAAAACGAAACCTACTTATTAGCTTAGTGGTTAAATTAATGCAGAGCCGCTGCTATTCAAAACCAAGGTTTGAAAACAGCCTCCAACAACCTGATAATGCTGCCTTCGGGATGAAGGAATTTTAATCTGAAATTTGAGGCTGGCTCAGATGAGTTAATCTATTAAACTGCTATAAGGAAGCTCCACCACAAACCGTTCAATTAAGAAATATTTAGGTGAGGCGGGGGAGAGAGAGGAGAGAGGAGAGAGGAGAGAGAAGAGGTGAGAGGAGGAAAATACAGTTTTAAGTTTGGTAAGGGAGCACTGAATAGCACCAAATTGAGGGGTCAGAGATCCTGACAAGAGGGTCTGGGGCTTGGTGTTTTTCATAAAACCCTGATAGATAGGAAAAATCTGTTTTTGGGGTTTCCTTATCCTTGTATCTTCTGACAAACTCATTTTAAATGATGTTTGAAAAAGTATGTCAAGGTCTGTATGTGTGTGTGTTGGAGGCAAGAGGTGGCAGGGGCCAGAGAAAGGGGTGGTGGTGAGGGGCAATGAATTAATTCCCTTTCAACGTCTCCCAAACTCCAATCTGAGAACTTTGATTAGTCCCCACATCCCGGACAACAGGCATGAGATTAACTCCATCTGTTTTCTAGACAAATTAAAATCTTATCAAGCATGGTCTTCTTAGGATTTTCAACTTCTGGCCGCCTCTATCCACCTTTATATGAAGGAGAGCTGAGGGTAAGCAAATCGTGTCCAAGATAAGCCTATGTGCAAGGATCACATTCTAGATCCTAAAGTAAACAGAAAAGGTGCCCTTTTTCAGAGGCATAGGGCTCTGAGAAGAGCCAGGTTCTTTTAGCGTGCCATTTCCCCACTGGCCTGGATAAACTTTACCCCAGAGGTGTAGCCTGGCTCACATAGTGTTTAAAATTTTATTTAAAAAAATTAGGCTGGGTACAGAAGCTCACACCTGTAATCCTAGCACTCTGGGAGGCCGAGGCAGGAGGATCTCTCCAGGTCAGGAGTTTGAGACCAGCCTGAGTAAGAGCAAGACCCCGTCTCTACCAAACATGGAAAAATTAACCAGGCGTGGTGGCGCATGCCTGTAGTCCCAGCTACTCGGGAGGCTGAGGCAGGAGGATTGCTTGAGTCCCGGAGTTTGAGGTTACAGTGAGCCACGATGACGCCACTGCACTCTACTCGAGAAAGCAGGACTCTGTCTCACAAAAAAAAAAAAAAAAGAAAGAAAGAAAGAAAGAAAGAAAGAAAGAAAGAAAGAAAGAAAAGGAAAGAAAATTAGTTGCCAGGGTTTAGAAATTAAGAAACTTTATTGAATATTTGGATTCCTGGCTTCTCTTGAAAACTATATCACGTGGCTACACCGGCACTATCCCTCCCAGCATCACTGAATAGCTGCTGCTCCCTTTGGACAGGACCTGCCCACTCCAGTTTGCCACAGTCCCTGCCACTCTCTAGAGTGAACCCGGCTTGCTTCATCCATTCACTTTTAGAATTTGAGCTTAAGATCCCTGCCAGAGAGCCCATGTAGACGTATGGGTAGGCTCTCCTCTTACACAGAAGTGGGTGGCATTTCCATACCAGTTCTGCCTAGTGTGCTATCAACCAACACAAACCAAGGAGTGGAAACTTTTGTCAGAGAAAAGTGAGTATCCAATCTTCCAACAGGGATCCACTGGAATTCTTAATCAAAGTTGTAGTTTCAACTTTCCATAAAATTCTGGAATCCATAGGTGCCTGGAGTTATAACAGATTGAAATAAGAAAACATCAACTGTTGCATTAGCTTTTCTTAGGGACTGTACTTAGAAACATCTGACATTCTATAGAAATGGTCCCTCCCCTCATGGGGATTACAATTAGAGGTAGAGACAAACAATCCGGTGAGAAGCCTTCTGGAGTTTCTTGATGACCAAGTTCAGGATAACTATTTATATTAAATATAATCCCAGCTCCCAGAAATCAAGGAAAACATACCTTCTCTTCAGAAAGCAAAGTTGGCGATTGGGCTCTGGAAGCACACATTAGAGAACCATCTCTATAAGTTTATATGATAATAGCAATTATCAAAAGGGTTGACCAGAGGGACAATAAAACCACATTAATCCCTCAATCTCCTGAAGCAACTTGGGTGCCCCAACTCGTGATAGGCTGCAGAGCTTGAAGTACCAAGTTAGTTAACTGACACGGCTTTAAACCCATAGTGTTTCTACTTAGACCCTGAATGTAAGAGGGCGAGGGGAAAAGAGAAGAGAGGTGAGAACTTGAAGGGAGAGGTAAAGGAGAGAAAAGAGAAGAAAAAGCAAGGCTAGGGGACCTCACTTATGGGGGACCTTTCTCCTAGAAGCCATTGGCCTTGCTCTTCAAAAAGAGACATGGCTAATTTCTTGGCTTTGCTCTCTTTGGCTGCCCAAGTCAGCAAAGCACATGAGCAACCATACTTCATCTCTTAAAGGACCCAAAGTCCACAGAAATTCTCCTGAATGCGACTCAGAACATTCGGCCAAACATGCGCCAAGCAACCCTGAGCTGGGTTCCAATCGATCAATAGATTGGGGTGGCTATGAAAGAAAACTGGGCTGAGGTCTGGGAAGGGGATGGCCTGTAGTCATATATGTGTTTTTCCTAAAGAGACAGGGTCTTGCTATGTTGCCCAGGCTGGACTTGAGCTCCTGGGCTCAAGTGATCCTCCTGCCTCAGCCTCCTGAGTAGCTGGGACTACACGCATCAGCCACTGTGCTGGCTTTAGTGATCTTTTATTCCTTGCTGCCCCTCTGGTTAACTCTTTGCACCTGATAAGGATTCACCGCAACTGCCTTCCCTTTAGAAAACTTTATTAAAGACAGAACATATTTTTCTTTTATAAAAACACATAGGTAAACATTTTTGAAAACCATAGCATAGTTATACAAGGGGAAACATTTCATTAGCATAATCTTACCAATAATGTAAGAAAGGAAAGACGGCCATACTGAAAGACATTTTGCTGCTTGGCAAAGAGGGCACCATTCTATAGAAACGAGGAAAAATAGTAAGCACCAGGGCCAATTAACCCCCCCCCACCATTTTTCTGAATACAACACAGTGATCCTTGCCCCAACCTCTGCATTTTTAATGAAATCTTAGGATACAAAATTATTTTAAACATGCTTTCCTGTCACATAAACCTTTACCTGCACTTTCTATTTAAGGGAAAAAAAAGGGAATGTGAGTATAAAACACCTGCTCAGTATGTGTCTGTTGGACTTTGGAGCAATTCAATAAACAAGCTCGCTCTGTTTAATCTATTTAGTGAGTGCAAGGCTTCTAAATCTCCCCTCTCAGCTACTTATATAAAAGACAAGACTGAAAAGGACAGCCACTCCTGGAGCAAGAGGCTGGGGAAGCATTTAGATTTCGACTGGGTTTAATTGGCGTGTGAAAAGGCAAAATGTTAGGCTTCAGCCAGGCTCTCTTTCTGGGGGCACCTAGCTAAAGGCCCTGGGGCAAAGCCTGGGGTCACTTACATTCCAGCTACTCTCAATCAAAGTAGCAATTTCCCTCCCCCAGAAACCCAGTCCCCAGTATTCAAGGTCTTCAGGTGCTTGAGGAAGAGCTCTGGGGTTGTGTTTCAAAGCAGGTGTATCTTACTATGAAGGCTGTTGGGGTTTTCTCTGATGCTTCGTAGATTAAATATTTTTACAATCACCCCTCCGGGTCCCAAAGGGAAAAGCAGAGGCTGGAGAAGCAATTAGGACCAGAGTGGAGGTGCAGAGGAAGCTGGGATTTTTCAACCACCCCCTCCTTGTTCGCTCCTGGGATTCCCTTAGGACTTCACAGCACAACCAGCGAAGAGTTTGCTGAGGTTCACTTCGGAGTAGCCACTTTGGGACAAGAACTGCTCTGCTGTGTTCTTGAGTTTTCTATAGTCCTGAAGAACTTTGGGGGTAAGAAATTGCTTCTTCACTTTATCTAAAAAGAAGTAAAAAGAAAAGGATTAGCAGTCTCAGAGATAGCTTCTTTAAGGACATGTAGTATTTATTCATCAGGCACTAGAGAAGGGGGTGCGGGTTCTGTTAGCAGCTCCACATCTCAGATGTCCTCTTTGGTCTACCCCTGGGACTGGTCCAATGCAGCCCCTGCTCCCCCAGTCCTCTGTGAAAGCCTTTCTTCCTTTCCCTGCCTGCCCACCACTTCTCAGCGCCTCGCTGACTCAGCACACTGGCGACTGGGACACCCTCTACTGACGCAAACTGCAGGTGCGCACCCATGTGCGGCAGACAAGGTGAGCTCCACTTGCAGGCACCACTTTCACAGCGCTGTCGAGCACGTGTGCGCAACTGCACGCGGACTCTGGATGTGGCAGGAAATACCTTGTCTCAAAGGAAGGTATGGCCCCCAGCGCCTCCCAGCCCAGACTCCCCAGATCAACTGGGCCTGGTCAGCTTCTTCTAGCCCCTCCTGTCTGCATCCCTCTGCTACACAAAACCTCCTCTGCTGAAAGAGGTGAGGGGTAAGCTGCCCAGAGAGCACTTGTGCATTGCTGAGATTTCTTTTTTCTTCTTTGTCCACACTGTGTGAACTCAGGGTATGCAGCGCCCCTGCCTCCTGCTCCTTCAACCCATTCATCCCTGGCCTTCCTGTTCTGAGGAGGGTGCTACCAGCCAGAGAAAAGATCCTTGTTTTCCCTCCCCAGAGCCTGCTCCTGCTATTTCTATACTTTGTTCTTTTAAAGAAATGGTAGAGTTGTGATGCTCAGGCCTGATCTTTTGGGGAAACAGGGTGATCTTTGGGGGAGTCAACTCTGCCCAGGATGGTTAAGATGACACTGTCTTTGTTCAAAGCTGCTTGGGAACCATGTAAGGTGTTTGGAGAGGCCAACTTTTTTTTTAGTCCCCATTTTATAGTTGAGGAAACTGAGAGGGTAAGTCACTTGCCCAAGGTCACACAGCAGATAATCAGGGATGTAGACATTCAAACTCAGGGAGCCAGAACCCCCAGCCCAAGCATGAGGAGAGGCTCACTTTTGCACCTACCCCCCCAATCACTGCTTTTAGACAGAGATGGGCAAGCCCCAGAAAGCAGCAGTTCCTGAGGTGAGGGCCCCACAGATGCCAGCCCGCGCCAAGGTGCTGGGGGGAACGAGGCTGCCCAGAAACATAGCACACCACTCACAGAAAGCAAAGCCTCACTGAAACAGCAAAACAACACTGAAGTCCAAAAAACACCTGGAAAATGGAAACTCTGTCTCAGGATTTTTGTTCCTTAGCTACACATTCGCATTTGTTCTCCACAACCTTTTCTGAATTACATCAACTGCCTTTCAAAAAACAACTTTTGTGGAGGATTTAAATGCCCAAAGTGGGTGGAAAAAGAGAGGACAGAAGCCCCTCACCCCCATCGTTAACTGAACTGACTAGAGAAAGACAATTTGAAAGTTCTAATTATCCGAGTCTGGGAATATACAACAATGGCCCCAACCAGCGTAGGCTGCCTCCCGGCAGGCCAGAGCCACAGGCCAGCAACCCCGTGCATGTGAATGACACAAATGCATCTGATGACTGGGGAGAGCACATTTGAAGAGCTGCGGTAATACAGAGCAGGGGAAGAAGAGAGAGGACCCAGCTCCTGATGTGTTTACCTCCTCTGCTGATGGGATATTGACTTTTCCCACCAGGTTGGTTAGAAAGGGGACTATTTACGCTGCCACACAGCAGAGTCAGAATGACAACCAGCGTCACTTGGTGCTCTTCCTCGTAAAAGACAACTGTGACCGCCAGCATATCCCATAGCCGGTCAATACGGCCAAGGCACCATTCCCTGCCAGTTAGAGATGCAGATAAAAGCTCCCACTTGCTTCCCCGATGAGAATTTAATCAATAACATATGGAAGGGCTTCTCGGAAACAGAACTGGACAAGCTGTCACAGGCTGCAGCGGGGGTGGAGAGTCGGTGGGGGGGAAGGAGTCGCCCCTTCTTCATGGTTTTTCTCATCCCCCCTTCAGGCACCTGGGCCACCCATATTAGGCCTCACATTAAACTCTTACCCTGTTTCTGTCAATACTACACCTACCACTTTAGAACTCAAGGGAAAATACAGGTGTTAAATGGTGGAAGCCAGTTAATGTGGCCAATAAAAAAGCCCCATTCCTTCCCCTGCTCTGGTTTGGGGAGTCAGTCTACTGATAAAGATGCCATCGCCACAGGAGCTGCAGGCCAGGCACCTGAGGGCAACAACTGTTACAAGATTCCAACAGGTCATTAGGCAAGAGGGAGAGAAGACCCACGGCCATCCCATCCTTGTCCACAGAGACGCCACTGGCACTACACATCCAAACTGCATCAAGACAGGGAAGGAAATACTCTTCCTACTTACAAGTGCATCAGCGAAACAGACTCTAACGTCTTGAAAAATTTCCAGATTTTCACCCAGAAATCACTCATCTTAATACACCAGCAGCAAAACGAATCTTTTCTTACTTTTCCTGTGAATGACATTAGAGGACCATGTATCCAAAGCTTATTTATTTACTCTGGTCCTTTCTACATGCTCTCATTCCTTGTGGTTATACACTAATTACTAAAATTATTCTGTCCCAAACCCCTATGAAAACTATGAAAAGTTAGCCTAGATAATTCACAAAATATTTTATTGTACAATAAAATGAACCACTAATTTAAAAGTTGGTTTCCATTGATCAGACTCTAAAACCTGAAAATCATGCAAGTTATAATATTTACTACATGGGATGAACTAGATTATCATCTGCAGGCTGAACTTGTCTTAAATATTTTATTTAAAAGTCAACAGATAAAAAAAAAAACGCTAGCACTATGTTTAAAAAAAAGGAATATTCTTCCATCTAAGGAAACTATCTCTACTTCACATATTTTAGTTCCATGTCAATAAACCAAAGACCTCTTTTCAGCTTTCCTCTTTATAAAACGCTTTTTGGTCTTAAAGAAACACACTGAACTAGAAACCACGAGGCAAAGACATTTTAACATCGCCTACTGGTTATTTTATTTTAATTAAGGCAGGCTTAGGCACACAGGCAGCAGCCGTCTCTGTTCTGAATGTCTGTTTCATTTATTTCCGTGCAAAGGTATCAAACAACAGTCAGTTATAATTGATTCTGTCAGGTGTTATACAGTCAGTCATAATTGTCTCTGTGTAGAGGTGTGTCAATTTACTATATCTGAATTAAATATTCTGTCAATTATAAAATCAGGTAATAATTTCAGTCAGTTTTTTAATTGCATGGCTTCCCACCATACAGTTCTCAGCTCTCCCACCTTTTCCAATCCATAGCCTCCCTCCCTCAATGCAACGTGAGCTTTGCAGTAAGGGGTGGAATGCAGGAAGCTTTAGGAATTTTGAGAGAAAACTGCGCCCCTCTACACTCTCTCTAATGCAGAGCCATCCAACCTATAGAGAGCTGTTGGAGCCTCTGGCCTGGCTGCCTTTCTCCTGAATATCAATCCATAATTGAGTCTTGGGCTATGCGCAGCATCTGAAAGATTTCAAGTGACATCCATATTTCAAAGACAAAGACATTTAGGGCCCCAAACCAAATGACAAGTGTATAAACATATCTCAATCAAAATAAGACATAAAAAGATATCATCTTTGAGCCAATTCTTATTTCGACAAAACATTCACAAGGCACAGTGCCAGGCACACACGGAGTGTAATACATTTATTGACTAGCCAATGCCTAGAGGACCATTCTTGTCCATTAAATCACATCTTAGATGCTTAGATATTTCTGACGGCTGAAGAGTCTCTCTGTTAGTCCACTATCCAGTTCCATTCCTACTTATAAATAATTATCTTCAGCTTTCTTTTTTTTTCCCTTCTTTTTTGTTGATACCAAAATACAGCCTTCAAGCAGAATAAAATATCCATGGTTTAGCTCAAGTGCTCTACTAGGCTGATCTGACAAGTATTTAGAAGTGTGATTATAATTCTCTCCACCATTGGTCTGGTTCATGTGCAATAAACACAGGCTTGTAGCAGCCTGGTGGTGGTGAACAATGACCCTTCACATTTGAAGCAAATGGAGGTGCTGCGGGGCCCGACTACCAGGAAGGCTGGTCACTGGAAGTTTGGGAAAGAGCAGAGGGTGACGTGAGGAGGGAGGAGATGGGGTGAGGCAATGTAAAGAACGCTACTTCTACAGCGAAAAATAGAAGGTGAGAGTCATGCCCCTTACCATGTTTCAGTGGAGAAAGAGTCACCTTGAAAGAGATCAAAAATTTCCTTTCAACTGGATGAAGTGATTCTATCAGGGTTGGGTTTTGGGTGTTTGTATTTGTCATGTCGGAAGAAAATTGCCCATGCAGCCCCCTTGCTGAGGTTATAAAAAGTACTGTCAACCATACTGGACAGAATTTTTTTTTTTGGGGGGGGGTTGCGGGGGGGGGAAAAAACACATTGTGCAGGATCATTAAGCACTGTTGTATAAATAAAGTTAGAAGATCAAACGAAAGAGGGGACTCGGGTTAAATGCTGGAAGACAAGCTTAAATAAAGTTCTAAGAAAAAAGCAAGGCATGCTGTAATTCCAAGAACCTATTACTTCAGACAATTTACTTCAAAAAATAAAATCAGAATGGTAAATGATTACCCAAAAGCAATCATGTCATCATCACTGAGAGATGGAATAAAATAATTTTTTGTGAAGTGGCTGAATGAGAGCAACTTAAAAGCCACGGAGCCTGTCAGAAGCACATTATTTCTTTTTACACCCCGTTTCCCAATTCATCTCAGTGCTGCTGACTAACCTCGGCTCCCAGCAGGTGGAGCATTTAAAATAAATAGCATTTCCTACAAAACGCGCTCCAACTGCCCCATGACAGACGCTTCCAATTCCCGGCCAGCCACTGGATCAGCTTCAGCGGTATCTAACAAGGTGTAAATACAATAACAAGCATGTAATTAAGTGAGCATGATGAAGTTAATGGAGATAA